AAAAAAAAAAAAAAAAAAAAAAAAAAAACAAAGAAAGATCATCAGTTAAAATTGCAACAAGAAGTTTTTTTTTTTGCAATCATCACAGTTTATTTGAACCATAGAATTACTATCGATCAAATCATCTGACTTTTCGGTATTTGTATTGCACAAGAAAAACTAAATAAATAAATTAACATTTAAACAAAAATTTTTTTTTTTTTTTTTTAGGTTATACATTTATTATTGTACACTTTGTTCAGCAAATATAACAATAGAAAAGGAGAAAAAAAAAAAAGAAAACAAAACAAAATTTATTAACAGTCTCAATGTAAAACTGTAAGCCTTATTTTCATAAACAATTGAAATTAAATTCTATTAACAGAATAGCTTAGATTTGTTTCATACAATGAACAAAATCTTTTAAACTTCCCCATTCAGCAATTTTACGACTGCTAATCATACGACGTCCTATTGGATGATGTTGCAAAAGTTTTACTCTGGTTTTCAACCGATTTAATTCAGCTTTATTAGCCTTCATATCCAACACTGTTTTTGTGTGTAATTCAGCGATTAACTGCTCTGCTGCACTATGTTCAGACCATGGCAACTGTTCTAATTCTGCAAACAAAAAAAAAAAAAAAAACATTGCATGACTAAAACTTAGTTAAACATCCAATTCCTCCTAATATTCTGAAGTAATTTAGTTTTTTCTTAACAGTTTATAAATTAAACTTAACAAAAATATTACCCTGTTGGAAAGCCGCTTCCACCTGCGAAGGTCCGTCGTCAGAAACGAGGTATTTGAATACACTTTTGCATGATGGCGATAGCCTCTTTGTTCTGTCTCTTATTCCGGTTCGCCGATGATTCCTAGAATGAAAGCTGAAAAAATTTCTCTGAAAAGTGTAGCAGAAAAAAAAACTCAAGCTATCGTTGATGTCTCTCTTTTTCTTCAAAAATTTGTTGCTCTTTTTTTTTTCCTATTTTGTACCATCCTGACTAAGTGTGTTATGTAAATTCTCTTTTTGAATCTGAGCTGCATGCCAGAAGATGAAAACAAAAAACTTACTTTGCAACAGAAGTTTTTTTCACGTCTTTACGCCGGCTAACTGAATGGAATCTTTTAACATTGGTGCCTGAACGAAAAAGGTGCAAATTAAGAATAAAGAAAATTCAATTAATTACGACAAAAAAAAAAAAGTGGAAATTGGAAATGGCGTAGATAGATGTTCGCTGTATGTATCTGTTTTTTGATCAACCTTAATGAATTTGTTCAATTTTTAAATGATCATTCGTTGTTCCTTTAAAACCATCAATGAGCTCTAAATGTTTAGCCTCAATACACGAAGTTTTAATTTGGCACATCAACTCACAGCGAATTTGGTTGACAATTGGTGATGAATTTGACTAACCGTGCATCTTTAGCCTATTGTTCTTACGATATTTGGCTACTACTCGATTGTTCAGTCTTCTTCTGTTCTGTCTCCTTCCAGCAAAAGCTACGCGTCTGACAGATAGATTCTAAAATTGCATGTTACTTATTCTGAAGTTGAAATTCTGCCTGTACTTAATATATTTCACTTTCAACAAACGTCACTTCGTTATCGCGCTTATATTTTGATCACTAAAAAAATACTGCGACTACTCTTTTAAAACTTTTACTTAGAAGAAGATTTTTAGTTATATATAGTTTCAAATAAGCTTTAAATAAATATATCTAATTGTTGTCTAACAGCATAAATTAGATCTTTTTAATTTAGTGAAATTAATTAAAACTGCTACAATGAATCAAAAGTTTTTGTTACAATCTTTTACAAGAGTAATAATCACTCTTCTAATCCATTTCTCTAAACCTTCTGTTTATTCTTTCCTCGTCCTTAAAAAAAAAAAAATTATTTTTTGAGAGTACAGTGAGTGACTAACTAAAGTTAACAAAAAACCTGTCTGGCTTTTTTGATTGGCTGAGTCGACTTTACTGGTTTTCGTAATGGTTTTCCCTTTGATGGCCTCTTCCATTTTCGTCTTCCACGAATGTCTATCAACCTTCTACGGCCAGGAACTGTATGCAGTTTTCTACCCCTAGCCCGAACACCAAACACCTTGGTCACATTTTTATTCGCTTTTGGTACATAAAGTTTCACATGCGGTATTACCTCAGTGTCATGCTGAATTTTTTTTTGGTTCTTTTTAAGGCTTTGAGTACGGCGTTTTTTATGAAGAAGAGCAGTCCCATTGAACTCTTTTACACGCAGTAGTTTTTTTGCTGCAGAAACTTGCACACGTTTCAATTTCTCATCATCATCGGATTTAGAAGTTTCAATGACTTCTGGTTTGTTAATTTTTTCTGAACTTTTATCTTTTTTAGAGTTTTTCAGCATCTTAAGGTGTTTTTTTCCACGTTTATTTTTCTGTTTTGGTTTTACAGTAGTAGTCGCTAAAGTAGTCTGAACTTGCCCAGCAGTGTTTACGTGAACAGCTTTCTCTTCAACTTCAGACGTATCTGGAGCTTCATCTTCTGCTAACAAAATCATGAAATCTTTTTCGCCTTCTTTTTTCTTCAAGGTCTGCGCGCTGGATCCTCGCTTCTTCCTTATTTGAGTTGAGTCTATAGGAAACCGATATGTAGATATTGTTAAGTTAGGAATTTTTTGACACTAATTTTAAATTTTCAAAAGAACAGCTGAAGAAACTAAATTCACTGAACAAAACTGTTTATAAAATTTGTAATTGACATTTATAGATTGTTAACTAGTTTCTTGTTTTTATCATTTGGTATAACTTTCTAACAAACCTTTTCCACCTCCTTCTCTACTTGCCAAATCTTTGTCATTGTTGATAACTGGTGAGACTGACGCTTCTCTTGAATCACTGCAATTAATTTTTAGGCACTAAACATTAACTAAGCTTGCTGTCTGCATAAATACAGTCAAAATAACCTCAGTCTTAAAGTGCTGATGGGAGTATCATCTATATCATAATCTTTTTCAATATTCGCGTCTTCATTACTCTCTGAAAAAAAAAAAGGACAAAATATTATTTAGAGTGATTCCAGTTTAATTTGAAATTATTAGTGTGTAAAGCTAAAGAACCAAATTTAATTTTTACTGTTACGGCAAGTCTAGCTTGTCTCTTTTTCAATATTTTTTTTCCTAATAAGTAGCTTTTCATATTTCGACATATTATCGTACGGTATTGGTAGCTGAAGCAGTTAAGACACCGGCGAATATAATGAATAATGTAAATCAACATTTACCGCTTGATGCTTTCCTCTGGACTGACACTGTTTTGGCTTTAAACATTGGTTTCATAAGATTTATTATTTGTCTAAAAAAAAGATACAATATATTTTTACTGCTCTTTTCTGAACAATCTTATCCAGATAATAGTCGCTTCTGTGTTAGCAGTAACTTCTAAATAACTTTTTATCTCTAGAACATTTGAAGCTTAGTTACACTACTTAACGAAGCAGTAATTTGTTAATTCTAAGATACTTATTGTTGGTTTAGTAATAACCGTTACAGGAATACCTTTTGGTATCATCAAAGTCTTCTGGTGCATCCAAAAATGGCGACTGATAACCGGGAAAACCGTTAACTAAAAATTCTTCTCCGTAATCATGGTTTTGAAATCTTAGCACAGTAATTACTAACTACGATGATTCAAAAAATCAGTTTAACATAAACGAATTGACTGAAGTTGATTTACTTCACTTTTACTAATATATGAACTAGAAAATCTGTATCTGTCAGTTACCTCGCCCATGTCTATTATAGTCCGACTGTGGTCCGTAATGTCCAAGAGCAGCTTGCCAAACTTTGCGGAATGATTCAGAAAAACGATTGTGTTGTGTATCGTCTTCTTTTGATAATACAGCTGCTGTTGACCACAGCAGACAGAATATCAAAAAAAGCATTAATACTGAAAATAATGTTGATAGGAAATTTTTGCAATAATAAAATTATTTTCAACGAGAGAAAAGTCAAGAATAATAGTTAAGTTTTGTGATAAAAATTGAAGACTTTAGGCGAACAGTGTAGGAGACGACTATGAAAGCTGATTAACCAGACTTGTTGAGATGTAACAATGAAATGTTTTGGAATAAAATCTTGTAAATTTGTTTGTATTTAAACAGCAATAATGCTGATGGATCAAAGTAGAGAAAAAAATTTTTTTCTTTTTTTGCTCTGCAGTTCTACATGGATGTCAACCCAAATTTATCGCCTTCAACAGCCAAATTTGATAAGATTTTTTAAGTGGTCATTTTAACGGAACTGTTTGCCAGTTATAACAAAGTGCACGAGGAATGATCGGAATATATGATAGTCGACGACGAGTGCCACTTAATCAATCAGCGTATTCCAGAATTCATTCACTTCTTCTTTTTAACTTCCCCACTCTACTTGACTAACTGGATTTTTTACGTTCTTTTCAATCGACCTTTTCA